GACCTTTAACAGGGAGTTCGCTCTTAACAAGGAGCTCGGACTAAGTACAGCGGTCTGGAGTTCGGGCTCGGTAGTGAGTTTGGACTTGCTTCCGATGTTCGCTTTGGGTGCTCTACTGTCCCGAGCTGCTTGCCTTTGCCACGTGTCGGGCGATCGCGAGGTCGGGCCAAATTTCCCTTCATCAGATACCATGTTTTTATAAAAATACCAGTAGGGATCACATCATCTTACATCCTACCTTTATTTTTCAAGACAAGATCAAATCTGAAGCAAAAATTTACACCTGGCCTTTTCTTTCACTCCCATGCATTTACAGCAATGCAACAACCAAATGCAGCTTTAATGTCTACTTCCTCATCATCATCAAGCACCAAAATCCATGTACTCCTTCCTACTCATCAAATCCAATTATACACCCTTCAATCCTCAAATCCCTTTACTCAAACAAACAAATCTGAATGCAAGCTTCACTTTGAAGAAGCCTGGAAATGAAATTGATAGGTTGAGTTTCGTTCTTTGGGTATTACCTTTTTTTCAGTTATGGATTTTAAAAACGATTTTCATTTGCTGAGCAATTTTCTATCAGTTATTTTTGCTCGATCTCCCATTTGAGGCTTCTTCCATCCAATATAATGTTTCAGCGCTCTGAATTCACCAAATATAATTAATTAACAGACCGTTGTTTTGAGTCTTTTGACTGATTAAAACCACCGACATTCTTCGATCCAGAGAAGAGTCAAAGCAGAGTAAAAATCTAACAAAATCACAACGACTACTTGAAATAGAATGAGAAAGATCGAGAATTAGAATCTTATTTCACTTCCTGCTGTCGAACAATCGACATGGGCCTTACATTTATTCTCTCTTTTTCATGTATTTAATTTAAGCTAAAATAGTAACAAACAGCAAACCAAAAATAGAAGTTCCTTTGGTATTAAAAAAAAAAAAAAAAAATTTACAAGTGCAAGGTTTCTCCGGCTCCGGCTCTTGCCGGGAAGAGGGACTCGGCGTAGGCGTAGTCAATCATCTTCACCATCCGACAAACCCCAAGAAACTGCAACAAACAAAAACCACAATTCTGTAATTCATTCATTCTATTTTTCACTTCGTTTTTGTGTTCATGATTCGACAATCTAGAGTGCGGATATAAACATTTGCTCTCTGTTTAAAATCAATTTACAAGAATTTCTTGAGCATCCAATACGTTAAGAATTTTACACGATTTTCACAAAATTAACGCACCCAATGCTCGTTAATTGGCTTAAGTTGAATTCTAAATTCATGGTGTATTACTGCACAAACAGGGGAAATCAACAAGATCACATCTTTACTCCTGTAAGATTCTCAGTCTATAATTGAATCACAAAACCCGGAATCAAGAACCAAAACCCAGTGAGAATAATGTCAAATTAACACAAAGGAAAAGAAAAGAAAATAGCAACAGGGGTGGTACCTGAGAGATCGAACAGCTATGTGATGGGAGAGAGCATGGAATAAGAAATTGGCTCCGTGAAGGAAGAGGACAACTCCGGTACACCCCAACAAGAACAACTCCAACGTCATTATCTGAACTTGGAATAAACCCTAGAAACAGAGACCAACAAGCAAAGCCGAGAGAGAAATAGCGAGGGTCGATAGATTCCTGAAACGTCTCCCGCTCCACCCGTGTGCCGGCCCTTCTTATAGAAAGAAGGCGCGCGGCGGGGGCTGTAACTTCCCAACGTCCCAGGATATGCTGCTAACTAATTGGTGGCATCTCTTGCTGCATCCGCAATAAGAATACACATTGAGAGTGTAAATGCTGATTAAGCAGTGTTACTGCTTACATGGCAATATTAAGATGATGGATCTTGAGCTTTAATCATTTTATAGTAAGATTGTAATTGCCACGTGTAAGGAGAAGAAAACTGAATGTAATTGCCACGTGATCTCGTGTGCTGACTGCTGAGCTTGAAGCCATTGAACAAGATCAAATCAGCCCCCCACAACGTCCCACAGCCCCCCCGTGTATTAAGACTCCCATTCATCCTCTGAAAAGAGAGCGAGGAACGGCAGCACAGTGGTTTCTAGGAAGATCAAATCAGCCCCCCACAAGATTGCCCCCTATAACTTCCCACAGCACATCCCTACCGTATATTGGGAACATTTCCCGATGATGATATCATCATTTCTGGTATTATCATCAGGAGATGTTCCCAATGATGTGCTGTGGGACGTTGGGTGGGGCTGATTTGAACTAGTTCCTAGCAGTGAACTGCTGTAAAACCAATAAAGGAATGCGACATGGGTGTAGTGGACTTTCCAAGGCTGTATTTGGTTGTAATGCAAACACACACACACACACACACACACACACACATATATATATATATATATATATTTACCCTCTTTTTGTATTCATCTTGTTTGTTTGAAATCGGTTCTAAGTGAGGGTCCCATCATTAAATGCTCAAACTACCTTATACTCCAATGCCTTAACTTTGATTAAAAAATTGACTATTAAAAGAATACACAATTATATAAAAAGATGGGTATAATAATACTTTCTTTTCAGAATACAAAAATATTAGAAAATACATTTTTGATCTGATAATCATTACTTTTTTATATATCAAAAGACACTCATAAACATAAACTATAGTACATAAATACCTTGATTCGACGTTTGTATTACAAACAAACAGAACCCAAAAGAATTGGAATTAGTGGAACGCTTTAATTGTATAATGGGCTGTAGAACCAATGATAATATTTGGGGCTCACAGTGAGGTCCCGTATATTTTATGACTGATGTAGAATATTATTATTGGTTTCACAGTCTATTAAATAGCTAGTGTTGAGTGAAACCTATTTCACCACTTTGAAGAAGTTATTAAAATTAGCAAGTTCAAAAGAGTATAAGAGATTTTTGATGTGTCACTATAGGGTCCTATGCACAGTGTTTTGTAGCTAGCAATGTAGACTCAAAACTAGTTTCATGAACTAATTGAATTAAAGTGTGTTTGGGCTTTTCCGATTTTTCACCAAATATAATTTCTAGATTTTTTTTTGTATAGGCCCACCTGGCAAAGTTGAGGCTGACTTCGGTCAGTGCAAGCCCGTGCTGACACCCTCTGAACAGCATTTAGAATATCTTCTCATGAAATAAAACACATAAATACGAAGATATTCTCAATACAAGGCTGTAAAAGCTATTCAAATGTTCATTGCACTGAAGCCGAATTCGTCAAAGTTAGAGAGAGTAGTCGCATGAAAAGCCTTGAATGGGGCTAGAGGTGTAAAGTGGGCCGTGTCGGACCGGCACGACATGGCCTGTGGGCGGCCCGCCTTGAAGGTGGGCCGTGCCATGCTGGTCCGCGGGCCGCCACGGGCTGTGTTGTCCTCTCCAGTGGAAATTTTGTTGGGCCTGGGCCGGGCTACAAGCTGTGCCGGGCTGGGCCACAAGGCGGGCCTTGGGCCTAGATCGAACCGGCCTGCATTGTTTTTTTGTTTTTTAAATTTTGATTTCTTTTCTAATTAAAATTGTAAACTAAAATATTTAACTTTCCTATGAACATTGGGAATTAGGAACTATTTAAAAAATTAAGAAATGAGAAATCTAAGTTATTTAGTATATAAATGAAAAAAAATACTTAACCAAATTGAAATAAGAATGATGGAATAACAAATTGGAAGAAAAATAGGAATTTTATTTCATTTAAATTTGAATGGTACAAATTAGTGAATTACAAATACAATGATTGGATCATTGCATACTTGGATGAATGAAATATAAAAATGGAATAAATTAATAAAATATAAAAAATACAATATGGTTACAAATTGAAAATACAAAATTAAAAAAAATATATCACATAAATTAAATAAAATTTAAAAAATTTACAATAATTTGAAAAAATGAAAAATTCTATAAGTAGTCAAATTCATGAATCATCGTTCCTGACTTTCATCATCTGTTTCGGGTGAAATGTCTGGTGTTGTATCATGCCCTCCCTTGTCTTGTAATCTATCTTCTACATCTAGTCAATCTTTGAAGCAGATGCACATCTCTATGCTCTCATTGTTCATGTAGCTTCTTTTGTCCAGCACCCTGGTACCTATACTAAAACAAGACTCCGATGGAACTGTAGACATCGGAGGGGTTAGTAGATCACGTGCCATGGCGGCGAGAATTGGATAATTTTTTGAGTGTTTACTCCACCAGGCTAAAATATCAAAATTATTTGATACTTCACCTAAAAAATTTGCTTGCAAATAAAAATTAAGTTCAGTAAATGAATTTGTTGTAGAACTAGCATATTTTTGCCTTCTACTTATTAAATAAAAAAAGCTTTTCTCTTCTACTACTGGGCTCAAAGTTAGAAAGAGAAAAAGAAGAAGATGAACAAGTTGTAGGAATATTTCCTACAACTTCAGATTCATACAAACTGTACATTTCAAATAATAAAATATTAATTTCTTCTTTTTTTATTTCCTATATCAATATTCATATTTTCATAATATGTTTCAAGTAAAATATCTAAACCATCTTTCTTAATCCTAGGGTCTAATATTGTAACTAAACAATAAAGGGGATAAATGTTCTCCCAATATTTTTTAAATTTATTTTCCATAATTTCAACAATACATTGAAATTGTGGATTATTTCTATATTTGACAATACAATCACTAATTACCATTGATTGATACGGTAAATTACAACTAGTTGGATAATAAATTCTAGATAATTCATTTGTCGCATTATAAAAATGTTTTAAAAAATTTCTTATACAAATTGTCATTTCCTAGTCTTCCTCAAATATCATATCATTAGGCATTTTTAAATTATAAAAATTAGAAAGAATTTGYTTATGAGATATACAACTTTCTAACATAGCATAGGTAGAATTCCACCTATGCTTTACATCTAATATAGAATGTTTATATTTTAGACCATAATTTTGGCATAAATATTTAAATTCTTGTTTTCTTGCCCCTAAACTTTTTATATATATAATACAATTTCTAATTTTTGAAATATGATTTGAAATCTTGAATACATAAATTTAAGATGTGACATGCACATCTAATATGAAATAATTTACCATTTAAGCATGGTTTTAATTGAGATTTTAAAATATTTATTATAGAATCATTATTGCTAGTATTATCAAAATTAAGCATGCAAAGTATTTAAAATACTTGCAGCAATAGCTGGGCCACTATGTGGTCATTCAAGCCTAGTAAAATTTAAATTCTTTTATTCAAAAGCCATTTTTCATCAATGAAATGGCCAGTAACACAAATATAACTAATATTAAATTTGGATGTCCAAACATCCGAAGTAATTGCAACTTTAGAATTAAGATTTGCTAACAAAGAAATTAAATTTTGTTTATATAAATAAAATTTTTTTAAAGCATCAGTTCTTATAGTATTCCTAAAAACTTTTTTATATTGTGGGTTTATAGAACTACACAACCATTTTTCTAGCTTTTTTTTTCTAGCTTTGGATCTTCAGCTAACATAAATGGTTGTTCTGCATGTACAATATACTTAACAAGTTTTTGTCTCATTTTTTTTGTGAATATCTAAAAGTACCAAAACTAGTCCCCCTCTCAATCTGTGTTTGGGTTGTTTCTCTCCTTTCATCTTCCTCTCGCTCATGTGTGAGCAGATGTTTGCTCAAGTGTCCCGTACCACCCTTGCTACAATAACTAAAGTCTTTCCTACATGTTTGGCAAACAACCCTTTTCCCCTTCCCCTCGATATCCTCTACTTTGAAAACTTTCCAAACTAGGCTACTCAGTTTAGAAGCCCTCATTTTCTCCCTAATATCATTACTACCGAGGGTGAAAGTTCCACTTCCATCGACATCAAACGCATCGACATTAGTGCTAACATTAATACTATCGTGATGCGATTGAATGTCATCCATGGTGAACATGTTGGGGAATCGGTTTTGAGAAGGGACGACCATTTTTTTTAATTCTAAAAGGATAAAAATTAATCTAATTCGACTTACCCGGATTGCCGGTTCAAAATCCCAACTTGATTTCAATGGTTGAAGCCTTTCAATGTCTAAGCCTCCTGAACTGAGATACTTGAGTTGGTTGAGCAAGCCTTCTTCTTGTTGAAAGTCGAAACTTTGATAAAGTTGAGACTTGAGAATTGGAGAATGCAAAATTAGACAATCAACTAATCAAAATTTCTCAAGACTGTAGATAATTGAGAGTGTATGAGTATGAGAGAGAGAGAACTAAGAGAATTGTTGAATTGGTGTGATGAGAATAGTGGAGGATAGGGCTACTTATAGGAATTGAACATAATTCAATTGCCCAAAATACCCAAAAAACTATCTGTTATTTAGTTGTTGGGAGGGGTATTTTGGTCATTGTAAAGTTACTTATAACTTTACCCAAAATGCCCCCCTAAACTAGTTGTTATATAGCTGTTGGGGGGCATTTATGTCATTTTTTCAACCCCCATANTATATTCTCGGGCGGGCCGAGTGCGGCCCGTTACGAGCCTAGCGGGTCGACCCGTTAGCCATCGTGTCGTGTCGGGCTGGGCCACCCGACCCGATTTACACCTCTAAATGAGACACTTAACCAAATCTCAAGCCCTCCCCTTAACAGCGGCCCGATCCGATTTACACCTCTAAATAGGGCACTCAACCAAAACTCAAGCCCTCCCCTTAACGAGTCCTTGACTCCCTTACTAAAGCTAATAAAGCCTATGGTCCAATAGGCCAAGGATCTGGCAGGTATCACCGTATCAGGCATATCGGGCGTATCCTATCGTA